CTTTCCCTAGTGTGCGGGGAACCCCAGGACGGGCATGGGGACAGGGATGGGTCATGCCCCAAGTCCTGATGTTCTGTCTGGTCCCTACAGGAGTTGGAAGAGCTGCAGTCCAAAGTCTCAGACACATCTGTGGTCCTGTCCATGGACAACAGCCGCTCTCTGGACCTGGATGGCATCATCGCCGAGGTCAAGGCCCAGTACGAGGAGATCGCCAACCGCAGCCGGGCTGAGGCCGAGGCCTGGTACCAGACCAAGGTGTGTGGCCGCTGGAGGCATATTTTCTCTTCCTGGCAGAGTCCTCCGTGGCGGCTTCCCTTACTCCTCACCCTGTCTCAAGCCTTTGGGGCCTGGGTCCCACTGTGCTGACAGGCACCAGGGATTAAATCTGTGGTGGTCTCCAGTGTTCTGGGAATGAGAGGAGGAGAAGGCTAGGTCCTTGCCCAGGGCAAGATTCCAGCCTGATGTGGGGGGAGAGGGCAGAGGACATGGACATGGATTAATAATGATTATAGCTAAAATCTGGCAAGTAAGCACAATGCTAGGCAAAGTTTCAAATGTTTTACCTGTATTGACTCATATAACCCACAGAACAGCCCTGTTAGGTAGGCACTAGTATTATCCCCCTTTTACAGATGAAGAAACTGAGGCATGGAGAGGTTAAGCGATTTGTCTAGCTCTGCACAGCTAGCAGATAGAAGAGCAGGGACCAGATCCTGGGTGCAAGGGCTCCAGAGCAGGTTTAATCGTTATATGCACTGGGTGTGGGCAGGGCAGCTGACAGTGCAGGTGCTGAGGGAATGGGCGGGGAGGGGGTGTGCTGGGGCAAACCAGTGATCTGGGGGAGGGAGCCTGAGGGTTTAAAAGCAGCGTAGAGCAATGTCTCTGCAGAGACAGGGAGCCGTCCATGGTGTATGCGAGGACACATGTATGCCAATAAGGACTTACTGTGTGACACTAGGCCAGTGCCTTCTGTTCTCTGGGACTCATTCACCTCATCTGTAAAATGGGTGGTGCTGACAAAGGGGTTAATAGGTGAGGATCTCAGACTTCCAGTGAATCTCCAGCGTTAGGACATAATGGGAATGGGCAGAGCCCCGAGATCAGTGGAATGGGCCTGGTGAGCCATTCTTTTCCCCCACCGGCCTGGCTGGGAGGAAACTGAACCCCTCCCCCACCCCACTTTCCGGGAGTCTGGCCTCCTGGCATCGGGCAAAGCTTGATGGGAGTCAGACTGTCCCTCCCTGGGAAGACAAGGTGGGAGGGCTTGTCACTCAGAACCTGGGGCCTTCCTTGGGTCGGGAGAAGACAAGTCACCTGTAATCACGGTCCACCCTTGCCATACTCTTCTGTGTGGTCCCTCCAGTTTGAGACCCTCCAGGCCCAGGCTGGGAAACACGGGGACGACCTCCGGAATACCCGGAATGAGATCGCGGAGCTGAACCGGGCCGTCCAGAGGCTGCAGGCTGAGATCGACAGCAACAAGAACCAGGTGGGCGCCAGCCCTCCTCCTTGGGGCATGTGAAGGGCAGCCAGCTGGGACCACGCCCAGGATGAGCAGCAGGCGGCTGGGGGCGAGGGGGTCACCCCTGCTGCTCTGGGGACCAGGCTGGTGCGGCTCAAGTCTCTCGGGCCCACCTGCGAGCTCTCTAGGACGAAATGTTCTTGGCCAGGTCCTGCTTGACCGAAGGGAGAACAGGAGTCCTAGCTGGGCATGGAGCTTGTGGAAGGAGCCTCGGGCTGGCTGGCTAGACTAGAACCACCATTCGTTACCACATTGGTACTGAGCCCTCTCCTTGCACCTAGCTCTGGGGGCGCTGTGTGCCTGGGGGCAGCGGGGTAGGGGGTGGTGGGCCGGAGGTCAGCAGAGTCCCTCACTATGGCTCCCACGGCCCCGCCCCACCTGCTGACCTCACTCCTTACCGCTGCCTCTCTGGCTGTGCTCTCGCTGCTTCCTGTAGCTTATATTTGCCAAAGCATCTTCATGCTTCAATGCCCTTGCACTTGGTGTTCCCTCTACCTGGAATGTGGTTCTCCCAGCTCTGCACGTGGCTGCCCCTTTCTCGCCCCCTTTCTCGCCCCCGGGGTTTAGGACAAAAGACCTCTTCTCAGAGACGGCTTCCTGAACCACCCAGCCACGCTCTCAGCAGTCTGTGTGAGGTTCCTGAAACACCTATCACTCTGAAATTTTCTGTCTTATTAATTTAGTATTGACTTATTAGGTAAGTCTTATTAATTAAGTATAAATAAATATTGTCCCCTACCTCCACTGGGATATTAAAAATGCCTTAAGGGCAGGGGCCCCCGTCTGTCTGGTTCACTGTTCCTCCCTTCCCAGCACCTGACACATAGTCAGGGCACAGGTCTCAGATGACAGACTGATGGGAGGAGGTGCTGTGAAGCTGGGGTGGGGGGTATTGATGAGGAAGGGTCCCCCAAGCCGTGACCAAGTCATGGGGGTGCTCGAGGCAGCTAAGCCTGGACAGGTGTCTGCAGTGGGGAGGGAGGGAAGCTGATGGGTGGTGGCTACTTTCCAGATGAGCCAGGGCATGGGATGTGGGGGTGATCTACCCAGAAATGTCCTCCCCTTGGAGCCCTGCAGGCCTTTTTACATGAGGGTGAGGGTGGAAGCTGCCTCCCGGCACAGATTCAGGGCTGTGAGTCACCGGTGCAGCAAGCCAGAGTCCAGCCCTGGAGGGGAGGCACAGAATAATGAATGGCGGTTTCCCAAACGCCGCAGCTTCTGCCACATCCGGTTCTCCTCTTACCCAACAGGGCAGAGCCAGACCCCGGAGCTGGGGTGTCTATCACCGTCGGGGGGCTCAGATGCAGTGGCATGGCCTTGCCAAGGGGGCACCAGTGTGACAGGGAAGGGCACTGACCAGTGGATGGGGGCAGAGGGCATCAGCCAGCCTCCTGGGCAGGACTGGGGGTGTTGGGCAGAGAGGAAGAGTGCATGCTCGGAGGGGAGAGGGTCTGAGGGCAGAGCGCAGCTGTGAGAGGGAAGGAGGACCACTGCGCGAGGGGATGGGGATGGTGGCTCTCGGAGCTGAGCGAGAAGCGGCTCAGGACTAAATAGGCCCCTCTAGTGAGGGACGGGCCACGAGAGAGGGAACGCTAAGGCCAGGCAGGAAGTGGCAGCTGATGTTCACGCCCGTCCTGAATCACGCCACTCCTGCCCAAACCTGGGGCCTGTTGACTCGGAGTCTAGGGGTGCCAAGCAGCGTCTCTGTACTCCAAGTCTCCCTGCTCTGGGCCTGTTCCAAACTGGTTCCTATTTTGAAGGTGTTTTTGGTTCTGGTCAGGTGCCTGAAATTTGAGGACTAAACTAGAATCCTTGGAACCCCTCTAGCTAGGGGTCAGGTGTGTGGACATTTGTAAATCATAATAGCATTTACTCATAATAGTGATCATAATAGCATTTATTAAATGCTTACTGTATACCAGACACTGTGCCAAAGACTTTTGTATTATTTCATTTCGTTACTTGCAATATCTCTCTATACATACTGCGATGACTGCTATTTTAGAAAAGAGGAGACTTTTGGCTTAGAAGGGTTGGTTCATCCAAGATCACATGGCTTGTAAGTGGCAGAGCCAGAAGTGGAAGCTACGCATTGGGTATCAAAACCCATGTTTGAAACCCCTGGGATTCCCTGGTGCTTGGGAGAGGAGGCTGGTGCCAGTGAAGCCACCGTAAGCAAGGTGCCCAGATGCTCACTGCAGCATGCGGAAGCAGGAAGGCAGTGGCTGGTGAGGCCTGCCCCCCCCAGCTCAAAGCCCCACTACTCCCCACAGCGTGCCAAGTTGGAGGCTGCCATCGCCGAGGCTGAGGAGCGTGGGGAGCTGGCCGTCAAGGATGCACGGGCCAAGCTGGTGGACCTGGAGGAGGCCCTGCAGAAGGCCAAGCAGGACATGGCCCGGCAGCTCCGGGAGTACCAGGAGCTCATGAGCACCAAACTGGCCCTGGACATCGAGATCGCTACCTACCGCAAGCTGCTGGAGGGCGAGGAGAGCAGGTGAAGACAAAGAATCTGGAAAGGGGATCCTTCGGGGCTCAGTGAGGCCTGGGGCTTGACATTCATCCATTTGCAAGCATTTCCTGTGTACCCTCTTCTGCAGGGCACTGGGTGTGGGAAGTGCAGGGAGGGTACAGATGATGCTTGCTTCTTTGCCCTTGATGAGATGACTTTCGAGAGGGAAAGACCAGATGGTGTAAAGCTCAGTGAGAAAGCTGAAGTAATAACAGCGCTTTCGTGTGTGTGTGTGTGTGTGTGTGTGTGTGTGTGTGTGTGTGTGTGTGTGTGTGGCTGTTAGCAAGCTTATCTTATTTGATCCTCAGAACACATCAGGTAAGCAAGACAGGTATTATTGACTCCTTAGTGTACAGAGGGGAAATTGTGGTTAGTTTTATTAATTGAGGGGACAGGGCCAGTGTGCGGTCAAGCTCTGCTGATTCCTGGTCCAGGCATCTTCCATGGCGACGGGCTGCTTCTCACTACATAATTGAGGGCTAAGTCACGTGGTATTGACTGAGCGTGGTGAGGAGGTAAATTTCCCGTCTCCAGAAATATTTGCATACTCACCTGCAGCCTGAGACGAAGCTGGGTTGGGTTAGTCTTACAGGGAATTCTTCACAAAAAACTGCACATCTGTGTCCATGAAGTTGGGTCTTCATTAGTACCTTGATGGCTTGATTGACTCACTCAGTCAACAGACAAGTGGCCTGGAAGCTTTCTAGTGTCCCCATCTCTTGCCCTTGCCCTTGCCCTTTGCCCTTTGCCCTTCCAGGATTTGGGGCTGCAGCTGGGCTTCCCACACTCCTTCCACTAAACTGAGGCCTCTCCTCCTCCCTGCAGAGTAAACTCATTCCCAAGGCCAAGGGCTTGGTGACAGTGGGACTGTGAGTCACAAAACAAACACCAGCTGTCTCAGATAGATTTTTAATTTCCAGTGCAAGACCTGTTTCAGCCCCACAGCCTGCTGAAAACAACCCCCCTCCTCCTTCCCCCCTCAGTTCCGGCTGGAGCTGGATTCACTCAGTCAACGATCCGCTAATTATTTCAACACATATTAAGTAATTACCGTGTGCCAGAGACCTCATGCTAAGGACCGGAGATCCAGGCATCAATAAGCTACAGCCTTCTTTGAGGATTTTATGATCTGGTTAAGAGAGGCAGCCATCTACATAATCAACAAGAACAGCTACCATTTACAGACTCCTGTGTGCCCAGGGCTTTAGGTAACTTATGTTATTTAGCCCTCACAAACCACACTGTGAGGTTGGTACTGAGTTAGGCCCCATTATAGGTGAGGAAATGGAGACTCTGAGACATTCCCAAGGTCATGTAGCCAGTAGGCGGGAGGGCCAAAGTGAAAAGGCTTGAAGGAAGGCGGAATGTGTGGGGACAGAGGAAGGAACCTCAGTTCTGCTCGGGGCCTGGACAGAGGGGTGTGGGAGTGCTTCCTCCAGTGCTGAGGAGAGAGCAGCCCTCACAGGTATCTCCTCTGCCCCAGGATGACCGGAGCTGGAGTGGGAGCCGTGAACATCTGTAAGTCCTTGGCTGCGGGCCCATCACCTATGCCATTCAGACTAGGCTGCGTCTATTGATGGCACATCGGCCTGAAGGCCTGGCCTTCTGGAGGCTGGGAGCCTCCTTCCCTTCAATAGTTTTCAGCAGGGGCCTGCAGCTCCCATCCAGAGAGGCTCAGCAGCCCAGGAAAGCCATGCACGGGGACAGGGTGGGTGGGGCCAGTGTGGAGCAGCCCTCACCTATGTCTGAGGCTCCTTCTGGGTTGGCCCCTGGCTGTTGGTGGGAAGGGAGGTGGGTGGGAGGAGGGAGATGGGCAGCTATGGCAGGAGGGCGGGGGCCTCGGGTAGTGGGCCTCACGCCGATGGAGACCTCCTCCCTTCTCTCTCAGCTGTGGTCGGTTCCACGGGCGGTGCTGGCAGCCGGCTGACCTTCGGGGGAACCATGGGCAGCGATGCCCTGAGATTCTCCAGTGGTGGAGGGCCTGGGGCCCCCAAGGCCTATTCCATTAGGACCACCTCCGCCCCCGGCAGGTGCACCCGCAACTGAGCCCCTGGTGTGGGGAGACACATACCCTCTCCTTCCATCGTCACAAGAGGACCTCCATCCCTGGTCCCAAGACTGCAAGGCAGTCTGAAAAATGATGTCAGAATAGCTTCCAATAAAGCAGCTGCTTTCTGAGGCTTGGGTGAGCCCACGCCCAGCACCTGGTGTCCTGGCTTCATTAGGCTGGGCGGGGAAGGCGGTGGGAGGGGAGGGCTCGAGAGAGCACAGGGTCTGCCCTGATAACTGGGACAGCACATTGGTGACATGGGGGTGCTGCTCTATGGAACTTGACTCTTATCCAGAGTGAGGCCTTGACCCCTCCCAGGGCTGGGCCTGATTCCAGCTCCTCTCCTGAAGAAGCCCAGAAGCCCCTGGAAGTTCTGGCTCTGCCAGGAAGTGGGCACTGGAGTCCTCTCCTGCTGAGGGCATGGGAGAGCCGTTTGCACCCACCCCCTGCCCCAGCCAATGCCCTGTGCTGTCAGAGAACATTCCTCAGTGGTGAGAAGACCACACATTTAGCTGCCCTAGGCCTGGGTTTGGGGTGGACAGCCAACTGGCAAATCAGCCCTTCCTGGGAGAGAGAGGGAGTCAGGCGGGGCATAAAGTTGTCCCCTGGGAGATGCAACCTCAGTCACCGTGGGTGGGTTTAGGAGGCAGGGGAAGCAGCAGCAGGTCCACACTGGAGGGGCCCTGGGACCAATCTGTCCGTTAGAAGCCACAGGCATCCAAGCCTCCAGAGCAGCTGGAGTCAGGGTTGGCTCTTTGCCCAGGGCTGGGGGAAACCAGTCATTTAGACTCTTGGGGATGGAGGGGAGCTGCCAGAGCTGCGGGCGAGGAGCCCGCCCTCCCTGGAGGAAGTGAAGGGACAAGCGGGGAGAGAGATGCAGGAGGAGAAGGCAGCAATTGGGCAGGTCAGGCCGGCTGGTTCCTGAAGCCCTTCCGCCGCAAGCCCAGGGGCTTTCCGAGCTCTGGGACCCGCCGCCGGAGGCAGGGACGGTTGGCTCGCGGAGCGGTGTATTTACGAAGCAGAAGGCGCCAAGCAAACCGCACCAGGTGGCTGCCGCCACTGCTTTGGCGGCAGGGCGAGCACACGCCGGTGCTCACCCCCCAGGTTCCCGCTGCAGTGGGCACTGCAGACGCTGCCCATCGCCGGCCGGGAGCCGGACACGCAGAGGTCCCCGCAGACGACCCCGCCCCGGGAGCTGCTGACACCTGCGGGGGGCCGGGGAGGGGAGAGAACAGGGCTGAGTCACCTCGCAAGGTCGTCACCAGCGGCTCCTGCCTAAGGGCCAGAGTCCCCCCACCCCCTCTTCTCTTGCTCAGAGCTCCTTCCCTCGATTTCTATTCCCCCTTCCCCCTCAAGCAACCTCACACCTGGGCACTTCTTCCGGTAGTCTAACCTCAAGCATCCTTGATAAACTGTTAGCCCAGGCCCTCCCTGTAGGCTGAAATAACTATTTAAGTTATCATAATCATTCACTGCCACATCCCCCTCCTTCCTTTCAGCGTCTTAAACTGTGCCCCCCCCCCCCCCCCCCCGCCAAATACGGTCTGCCACCTCTTTTTATGAATAAAATTTTATTGGAACCCAGCCACACCTATTCCTGAAATATTGCTATGGCTGTGGCTGCTTTCACATTACAACAAGCTAAGCAGTTGAGCAGAGACTGCATGACCCGCAAGCCTAAAATATTTACTATTTGGCCCTTTAAGAAAAAGACTGACCACCAGGATCCCCAAGCTCTTATTTCAGAACCCACAGTATAGCTAACTTACAGACATTTACAGCACTAATGCCCTTAAACAACCTTGTGGGGAGAGAAGAGAGTCAAAAATTAGTAGGGGGGAGCAGAACTTGCAAATTCCCTCCTCCAAGTAATCAGGATGCAAATTAGATGCAAATAATATGCAAACATGCTCCTAGCTCTAAGCACAGCTTGGAGGATGACCCACAGATGTGGTCCTCATCCCTGCCCCTCGCCCTCCAGCAGGAGCCTGTAGGTGGCGATCTCGATGTCCAGGCCCAGCTTGGAGCTCATCACCTCCTGGTACTCCTTGAGCAGGCAGGCCATGTCCCGCTTGGCCTTCTGCAGGGCCTCCTCCAGCCTGGCCAGCTTGCAGCGGGCATCACTAAGGGCCGCCTCGCCCTGCTGCTCCGCCTCGGGCACGGCAGCCTCCAGCTTGGAGTTCTGGGGGACAGGGGAGGGTTATTAAGGCTCCTTCTTCTGGATTTAGGGTCAGAGACTAGGTATCCACTGACCATTGACTATCAGAGGAAGGAGGGGCCTTACTCGTTTGTTAGGTCAGGGGTTGCAAATTAGTGCTCTTGGGGAATGTTGGCACAGTGTCCTTAATTTTTGAAATTTAATGTAAAAATCCAAATTCCTGGCTTCTCTTGAAAAACCGGAGGAGCCGGCCACACTGTACCTGCATTTCTGTAGGGCCTGCCTCTGATCTGATCAGCTCTGCCCGTTTGTTTTGTTTTCCAGTTTACCACACCCTAGTGCCTTCGGTACAGCCTGCTTCACTCACTTACTAACGTCTGGGCTCATCTAAGTGTGTGGTCAGTGATCTAGAACAATGGGCCAGAGAGGTGAAATGGCTTCCCCCAAATCACATGGTGAGCTAGCGGCAGGGCTGGTTTGAGAGCCCAGGTTTCCTGCCTCTCAGACTGGTGCTATTTCCTCTGCCCCATTCTGCCCCTGGGACCATGAGAGCCCCGGTCATTCCGTTCCCCTCCATAGCCCTCCCCCTGCGCCCCCCATTCGGCGGCGACGGAGAGCATTCTCCGTGGAGGAGACGTGCCTGAAGTTTGACGTTGCCTCTTCTCCCACACTTTGGCAAGGTGCCTGACTTAAATCCCCCTGCTGCAGGCCAGCCCTGCTCCCTTTCTACTCTGAGGGGTGGGCCAGGCTTCTGTACCTGGCACCTGGCATTCTCGACCTCGGCCGTCAGCCTCCGGCTCGTGCGGTTC